TTTGTAAATCTATGCGTTTTTCGGAATGTTTAGGAATGGTCTATCTCCAATTTTAATCGCGACAGCAGTTGCAGCTCGTGGACTTGATATAAAAAATGTTATGCACGTAATTAATTACGATCTGTGCAAAGATATTGATGAATATGTTCACCGGATTGGAAGGTATTAAATTTTATCCATTAATTAAATCTATTGATTTTAAACATTTTTTAATATAAACGTAATTTTAATATATTTAGAACTGCACGTGTTGGTAATAAAGGGTTAGCGACAACTTTTTATAATGAAAGAAATGCAGAAATTGCGCACGATTTAGTAAAAATTCTAATAGAATGTAATCAAGAAGTTCCGAACTTTCTGAAATATGTTGTAAACACAGAAGATTTGTAAGTAATTAATTATTTATTTGGATTGGATATATTTAAGAATTTTATAACAATAATTTTTTATTTGATCCACAAGAAAATTTAATGATGACGACGATGACCAAGATATTGCACCTCCTCGTAATAACTATAATAATCGAGAAAATAGTAATAAAAATGATTACGGAAATTGGGGTAATGATTCTCAAAAGCAATCGTGGGATAATAATAATAATAATAATAATCAAAAACAAACATGGGATAGTTCTAATCCACCATGGGCAAACGATTCTCAGTCTCAGCCTCAACAACCTCAACAATGGGGCGAAAAACCACAGCCAGTATCTCAGATGGTAATATTAAATATTCTAAATCGCATTATCATATTTATTTATTACTAAAATTATTTGTTCACTTTCACAGGTTAATAATGATAATTGGACACAATTACCTTCAAATCAACAAAGTCAACAATCATATCAAACACAACAACCTACAAATATATATTCACAAGGGCTGCCACAACAGGTATCGCCACCACAATATAATACTCCTCAATATAATACATCCCAACCCCAATATAATACACCCCAACCTCAATATAATATACCTCAGCCTCAATATAATTCTTCCCAGTCTCAATTGAATACTCCACCAATTGTTAATTTACCCAAGACAAACAGTCAATTCACCCCAGTAACACATACACCATCGTCTCATAACTCACAATCTCCACCTCAACAGCAACAGCAACAACAAAAGTCATATAATGGAAATAACAATAATAATAATAATAATAATAATCCAAGTTATGGAAATAATAATGGTGCAAACAGGTTTGGATTAAATAGTAATAATAATTATTATAATTATAATTATAATCCGATTTTCTGATCTAAATTTCTCCAAAAATAAAGGAATACGCGACCTCCAGCTGGTTCGGATGGGTGGGGTGCACGAGAAAATATGCAAACGCAAGCAAGACCTTGGAACGAAAATGAGACTCCATGGAGCTAATTTATTTTAATTCTTTTGTATTTTTTACAATTAACACATATATTGAAAATTTTTTTTTTTTGCTTTATTCTAGCATCAAAATTTTAACAAATTATATCAAAGTGTATGATTATGTATATT